CTGTTTTAACTAACTTAGTTGGATGTAGGCAGAGATTGATAACCGGATCTTTGCTCATTGAATCGACATTAAATAAGCGCAGTAGGAATGATTAGCATCCATTAGCATCCAGATGTCATAAACAATTAAAGAGAATCAGAACTGTGTAATCTATGTCTCAAGGTTGTAAAGTTACCTTGATACGACTATGGTCAATAAATTATATCCAAAACGTTAGTTATCCAGCAGATAATAGTGCTTCACTGAATAATGCAGCTAAAAAGCAGGTTAAAAAGATGTTCAAGTCTCACTCATACAATAAAAATTCACCTTATTTACTGAAACTGAATGATACATGAAGATAAATTGAAAACTTAGGTCATGACGAGTTTTGACCAAGAGGCCTCAGAGTCATTAGACCAGTAGTCTACCGAATGAGCAACAAGACCCGACTCCTAACCAGGTCTTCCCTTCACTTCAATCACCAGGGGTTTCACTTGACTGGAATCCTGTCACAACCTACATTTTCGTCTCAACTTGAGTCATTCCGCAGTATCAATAATAATAGTCTATCAAACCACAGCTATTTCAGATAGTCACTCTGATAATTCATATTATTTACTTAAGCTATATATATATATATATATATATATGGATGGGTTGCGTCTACTCTTTCAAATCTGTACAATCATTTGAACTTTCATTTAAGTAAATATTTCTAAATGTCATTAGACATGAAACGTTTTTATATTCACTGTACACTTTCCGCAAAAGTTCACCATGAATGGAAGAAATCTAAAGCAAGCTGTCTCTTTAACCTGCCCACCTTTCTAGTCAGCATCGTTTTAATTACAGGCGGCGCTGATACAGATGAGAATGTCAAAGCCAGGATCGGAAAGACAGAAAGACAGGCCTCCATCAATCTGAAATAACCAGTGTGAAGATTTACTGCATTGCACTCGACTGCACTCAGCGTAAAGCGTAAACAAGATCAGTGCTTCTAAATGATGGTGAAGAGACCTAGAGCGTCACAAAAGACGTTGCCAACAAACTACAGACATACATCGCATCAACAGCTGTCGCTTACGTTCACTTAATACTGAAGATCAGGTCAGATGGCTAGAATAATAAGAATAAGCAACAATGAACTTGGCTAGCTGGCTAGAGACGAAACAACCAACCAAGAACCCATCACCAAACAAATATGCAGAAATAAGTGGAGATGGATTTGATTGGACATAACGTGGTAGTAACGCATCACAAAGTCACATGGCAGACGGCCAAAACCACTAGTGATTGAAATAAAATAAAAATCTGGTGAATATCAGACCTCGTAGCCCAGTTGGAAACCCGATGGTGGCTTGTTCAAACAGCCACTGTCCAAATTTTCATTTCACTTTCAATCAACACCCAGGATAAATATATAGATATGCATACATCACCTTCAAAATATAAAATTATATACCAGTATAGTTGTGATAAAGGTGGCATAACAGGTCATCAATCTCAAAGTATCAAGGGAGTGAGAACTAATCAAGATAAATCAAACAGTAACCATAGCATAGTAAATATTTTTTTGAAATTTTAAACAGATTGCTGTTCAACTGATAGTTCGATTGATAGTAACTAACGCGAAGAGGAGAGAAAATTACTTGAATACCGACCATGTTATTTAATCCTTTGATTACAACACAAAATTAGTGTATGAACACCAAGCGTTCCATCATACAAAATAATAAAGCGACATTGTAATGACACAGAAAAAGGATCAAAAGACAAATAAAAAGGAGTGCATGTTATCAAAAAAAGATCTTAAAAATATATGCAGAGGAGCATTCGGCACCTTCGTTTTACGATTGTATAATCACCACTAGTTCCGACGCTGAGCTATGTGTGCATTCGTCTCAAGTCTTCAAGCTGCCTGACCTCTGAATCTATCGGGGGGAGTGGTCAGGCATCTACAGATATGGGTTTAACACAATTTTCCATCATCCCATGATGCCATTTTATGTACTGGCAGTCTTTTCATTTATTCTAACCATTCTTCTGCAAGCGAGCAGTGAGTGGTATAGGCGCCTCTGGAAAAGCACACTAAACACACGTTCAGTGTTTCACTATGAGCGAACTTAATGAATGAAGACCTAAATCATTTCAAAACACATACTGCTTCACATCAGAATTATTAACGTGATGTTTCCACTGCCAGAGAACAATCATACAGAGACAATTAGAGATTCAGCGAGTAGATTACCTGGAAATGGCGATCTTGGAGAGGTTAGGCTTCACAGGTGTACAAAAGAACAATGTTCATTGTCGCATTTTATTCGACACCTTTAACAGCAAGTTTAACCTTATAGAGGCATCAACTGTGACCCAAACCGGAGTATTTTGTCCTAGCTTTTGGCATATATTTGGAAATTTCATCAATAAAAGACTAAAGTTTGTGTACTGAGGCGGAATGCAATTCTATTTAAGTAAGCATCTCTGGGTTTCTGAGTGCAGTTTAAGCAGTAAAACAACATTGTTCGCGTACTTGAGGGGAAAACTTTTTCAAGTGGCGTTAAGTCCAAGCCACCGCTTCCCACTCACTAAAGTGTTATTGAAGGCAAAGTTGAAGCGGTGTAATGAAATTGTACAGCCGTGCATAATACTACTACATATATGGAATAATGGAGATAGACGGTAGTACATCTCCATCCTACCTGAAGCACTGAAGTATATTTCTTTCAGGCTGTTCAGATACTTCTCGAATAATCCCAGGTTATCGCTCTATTCAATGGATTGAAGGTAGCTGAAATATCGACAAATATATTGGACGTTGGTCTTCAATACATATGATGGTGTTTGTGACTCTGACAGTGGGTGGACTGTTATCAGTGATACCTGGATGATCACTATATATATTACGTGTAGCCCTTTTAAAATTACAAGAGTAACTTCATTCTGAGTAACGTAACACTCTCAATCTGTCATATATTCTCAATTAATGTTGTCAGTTCCCTGAATGCAGTCCCACCTTCATCTTCAAAAAGAGCTGGAGCAATCTGCCTACGACGGATGCTTACTTGAGGATTGAGCGAACAAGTCGATCATTTAAACGGTAATGTTTAATTTCCTATCTCTAAAAGATACCGTTAGTATGTAAAGCTAATGTGTAATCGAAAAAGCAAGTATATGAAATGAAAGGAACTCCTAAAAACGCGTCAGAAAGGTGAAGAAAGCTTTTTCGTTCATCAAAATTATTTCAACAAAGATTTTTATAAAAGTCAATCGACTTAAAATCGCTTATACATTCAGAATTATTCACGATGAAAAACTTCATTAGAAATGACGGCAAATTGTGTTTCTTCATTGAATCAGCTAAAAATGTCAGCCTGTGTTTAAACAATATGTAGAGCTCAGTGCAAGAAAGTAACATTGTACTGAAATTTATAAAGATGGAATTCATCTTGAGTCTACTGAACACACAAAATTCTCTTCTGAAATTGTTTTTATTAGATGTCATTCGGACAAAATATTTAATCAAAGGGTTATTCATCATTAAAAAGTGAGTGGACATGGTAATAGATCGTTAAAAATGCTCAAGTTACTTTTGTTGTAAATTATATTTGCCAGACAGTTGGTAAATAATGTTTTTCAATAAAGTAGAGATCTCTGTTATTTTGCTTTCATGTCAAACAAACTTTGTACGAGAAACACTTCAACCTAAAAACTTAAACATATGAACCACTGACTAAAATACTTTATCGATAGGATTTAACTTCAGGTTCCTATCATCATGAGCTGACGCCAATTGGAGAATCGTAAGAAACATGGACACACTGAACAGCCGTTTTGTTCTAGTATAGGACTCCTCAGCACTGACTACCCATGACTGTGCCAAGAATCGAACCCAGGACCTTCAGGTTCCGCAGCCGTTGAGTAGGAATAAGTCTTCTGTTCACTATTCATACTGAAATGTGAATAGTGTGTGCGTCTTGTTTTAGAAACGCTTCAGTGTCACACTTAATATCATAATTGGCGCATCGGAGATACAGGAGGAAAAGAAGCGACAGGTTGTGCATACTTATTTACATATTGCATCATGTTACATCGCCTGAGTCTAACGTCACTGAGTGTTCTTTAAGTGCATGGACGTATGATTAAACTGATTGACTGAAGTTTTCCTACTTGCTTTCTCTGAGGAGTGTGCAAATATTTCAACAATTGACTCCTCCTGTCTTCATGCAGTATCTTGATTTCCCTTTTTCCTGATTAGTTAATCCTTTTTGTTTGACTGATGCGAGAAAGGTTGTCTTCATCTGATTGAGTGACTTAAGCCAACTGGAGTAACATTTTACGTTGACTTGATGATTCACCCCACACTGAATGGGTGTTTTTTGCTAGCGCTGGTTGACTACATCTCAGATTTCTTTTCATTTAGGTAAGCTGATTCTTTCCATTTACTTATTTTAAATAGGCTCCTATACTGCGTTTACATCAACATAGTCATTTGCTGGCAATCTACGTGAGTGAAAGGCTTCTGAAAATGCCCTTTCAGCCTTCGGGTTTGTACATTCAAAGACTGCGAAGGTGCCTCTATCGAACGTGTTGTAATAGTTATCGCAGTCTATTGGTGTGCTGATGATGATGCCTAGCATGGTATTCAGATGCTTACCAACCAAAACTTCAACTCGGAAAACAATTTGCTCTGCACATCCACACCCTGATCTACAAATATTTCCATCACTTCTATTCCTTACTTGATAACGTTAAACTTAAAGATGCCTATATGTAAAAAGCCACTAGGAAACTATAGTTTTATCTGATTAACACATGAAATGTACATAGGTTATCTTTTCTTTTAGATAACATAGTGACAAGAAAAAAATCAGATAATGAGAGCAGTAAAAAAAATTGAACCGTAACGAAAACATAACACAGAATCTACACAAAATAACACTTACGCTGTTCAATAAGTTTCTTTTTATACAATAAACTCACCTTGTAGGTTTGTTGTAGTAGTTTTACTTCTAAATTATTTATAGTATGTGATGTAACATGTAGGTGTAAAAGTAACAATTTAACAGGAAAAAAATAAAAGTGATTTCTCTGTCAACTCGTAAACGTGTACAGTCACTCATTGACCTAATCAATCGTTCAACTAGAGTTAATTGTTCATCTTTAATATTCATACGCCTTGATTCACGAAGTGTACCCGGCCGGATAAGTTTTCGATTGAAGGTAGATTTTGGTGAATCAAACGATGTCGATGACACTGTAGGTGAAGGTGAAGAGGATGATATTGTCGGCACTATAATTTATTCGAAAGAATAAAAAATACAACATCATTTAATATTATATCCATGAACAGTTTGTGTATTCTAAAGGGAAGCAAGTGGTTGTAAATGTAGCCGAGGTTATTTATAGTTCAGATTGATAATTTTGATTGTGTTGTATTCTCTGAGCTGTGTAGTTAAATCGTGAACCTTTGGTTATCTTTCTATACAACAATAATCAGTACTAACTTCAGTATGAAGTAATCTATCGATATATTTCTGTGATAATGACAGCTTACTTCATTTTGAAGTTAGCGCTACTGATGTTGTCTAGAAAGGCTATAAAAGCTTTACAATTCAACCACTGCGTTCAGAGAACACAATGCAGCCATGATTGTAAATATAAGTGAATATTTACACACAATCATACTTCACTTAATTTCAGTAAATTTTAGTCATTTTAATAAATGAATCCATGCTCATGAATATCATTCTTAATACATGCAACAAGAGTGATGTAGCACAAATATGAATAACATGGAACAATAGTACTTACTGGATAATAAAAGATGACAAAGGTACAGAATGAAAACATTATATGTGTCATAGCTAATTGTGAGTGTATAAACAAATAATCACAATTATTGGTGTGATCACAGGCAGTTGTTTTGCTCAAAATATTACTAAAATTATATAACTAATCATTCTGTATAAATATTCATTATAAATATATGTATAATTCACACTGTGACATGAAAAACAAGATATTCAGGAATTGGACTCTTTTCAGCGAATTTGTTCTCAAGCTGTACATTCGTATATATATATATATGATATTTTAAGACTGTAATTTGTGAGAAAGATTTAATTTTAATAATGGTGATAATAATAATGTTGCTGGTTGATGATATAAAGGTTAAATGATAACAAAAGGGGTTATCTAAGATTTTTAAATAGTTTATAAGGTGCATATAGATTAAAAAGTGATGAAAATGTGGTAGAGTTAGTAAACAATAAAACAGTTAGGTAATAAGAATAAGATAAATTAGTTGGAACAAATTGAAAGTATTTTATTACAAACTACAATTATTAGGAAGATCAAATGAAGGAAAACCGAAAACTATTAAATCGAAAAATAAAAATGGTAAAGACGATAAAAGAGTACAAAGATAAATCTAATAAATGAGTTAAAAAAAACAAAGAAGGAATGAAGTAAATCAAGACCAAAATAAGTTAAAGTCAAGGTAGAAATAGAAAACTGTGGCTATTTTTTTTGCTTACAAAAGTCAATCAGACTACAGTTCATTGACAGCCAAGGCCTTTATTGATTTTAATAGCTGAAGATGGAGGAAACGTGAGATATTTGAGTCTATTCCATAGACAACCCTTAATCATTATTTGAGCCGGTTGAATGATTGGAATGGATCAAATGTTCATTATAAACGATTTAAAATCTTACATAACCTATTTTGTTATCATTCAACTTTTGCGTCAACAACTAGGAACATTATTATTATAACCAGTATTATTGTTATTTCAATCCCTCATTATTGAAGTTAAGTCTTCCTGACGTATTACAGTTTTTTAAGTATCATATATATGCGCGTGTATATATATCGAGTGATGATTGAAGGTGACATGAAAATTTTGATTATATCTAGATTCCAACTACAGGCCATCGGGTCTCCGACCTAGTGCCCCACCAGCTGAACTACGAGATGGAGCTACAGATAAAGCATCTGGCTGGAAACCGATTGGTCACCGGTTCGAATCCAGAATTTTCACCTCACCTTCAATTACTACTCATTACAAATAATAGTCTGCCAAACTACATCTATCTGACATAGCCAAATGAATATATATATATATATATATATATATATATATGACTGTACAGCTTGAGAATAAATTCGTTGAAAGGATTCCTTATCACTGAATATCCTGTTTATAAATATATTTATAACAAATAATTCACTATCTATAGGTTTCAAAAGAAGCTTATCACAGCATGACAGCTCTTATATGATTATCAGTGTGTAACATGTTAAATAACCAGTGCACAGAGTAATAAAGGTGCCATGATTTAACATTTAAATCATTCACAAGTATCTATCCTCTCTTAGATAAAAAAACTAACCGCATAAACAAAACTGTGTGTTCTGTAAACAGTAAAATAATATTCACATGCCAACTGTGTTTGCTAAATTTCATGCTTTAGTCATCGCATTACAGCTTAAACTTCACTTTTTCAGATATCCAAACTTGATCTTATCTACTCGATTGCCTAAAAGAGTCGGAAAACAACCTATATTCTACTCATTTACTAAGTTAGTCTTTGCTGTAATTAGGCTGCAAGACTCCACTTTAATTTCTTAATCATAAATAATGAAGGAAATGCCTGACGTCAACGTAAATGTATACAGTGTTATAGTGACATAACCTATTAGTGACTGCGTTTGTTAAGGGTACGTCAAATGAAAGGTGAAGTATAATGAATAATCTACAACTGTTTACCCCATTCTTACCGGGGACTGAAAATCCTAATCATACTCTCCCTGATTCTAGACATAACCATCTGAACCCAACAGATTTCCAGCTTGGGATTACTTCGAATAATTTAACTCTCTGATCAAAGTTATTTTGGATATACTATTCATGAAGTAAGTTTGAATCAGAAAATATGACCGTTTAGTGATTACATCATTCTGATATGCCTAGCGACTATTGTAGATCAGTGTAAGAGTAGATTTCGACTACTTACAACAGTCAGTAGGATGACTCTTTGTTGACATACTTGTTTGAAGCGATGGGTACAAGGTTCAAGTCTCAATGGGAACAACTTCACTCACTGGGGTACAAGCACATCCAGCTAATGGGTCCCAGATCGGACGAAACGCTCATTCTGGGCTCCTATGCTAGCTACAACTAAGTATACTATCATAGTAAGCAGAATCGTTAGATAGTATTCTTGATATTCTTGATCCTTAAAGTGTTTGAATCTTCAATACACTCCTTACAAAACAACCAACTATTCTCCTTTTCCTCACTTTGTTACTCAAGCATAACATTAGTGCTGTCGTGCATGCATTCAACTTACCATTCAGTGTAGTACTCACGAGTGTTAATTGTGAAGACTGCGTTGTGTCAGGCAAGTCTGTTAGATGAAATAAATAATTTGAACATATAGAAAATCCATTACTTTCTATAATTATTTTACGTTAAATTACTGTCAACACAACTGACAGAAGCTACTGAATACTGTTAGTATAGCTTACTACGAAAACACTAAGCTCATAGATTGCTGTGTGTAACGACTTCACAACGACATAAAAAAAAACCAACAGGAAACGTAAGCCGTTGCTAGGCATGCGTTTATGCAACCGGACAAATGGATGGAGAGTAATCATAATGTCTGAAAATAATTTAGCTGCATGGAGGAAAAGACAAATGATTGAACAGTTGTTTTTATTCCATATCGATGCCTAATACTTCCCAAGGGAATAACTTTGCAATTGTCCCCAATAGGTAGGTAATAAAAGCTCTGAGATGAAAAAGAAGACAAGTGTGAAAGTTGAATGATTTCCTTACTGTGAGTAAGAGAAATACAGTGTGCCTGTAATGTCATCTACAAATTATTTGTTAAATTCCTTCCCTGCTTTCTGATATCAAATCTAGTCAACATTTTTTCTGCAGTAGAAATTCTTTGAATTTGAATCTGAGCTACTGTTTGCTGGGTCAAATTTGATTAACTATTTGCAGAAACCATCCAAACAGTTAAACAAAATGTGAAGAACTTTGAAGATCAGCCAGATAATTCATAATTATGACAAGTTTACTGTATTCTATGCTGTATCATCTCACAGTGTCTTATGATAAGCAGAAACGTTTCTGATGGTTACTGCATTAATACTTGAAATGTTATACGCATCTGTCCTCTTGGTACCAATATGTTGTTAGTATTTTATAGTATATACTAAATTTGAATATAAAAACTTGAACCGGCACCATGATAAGACACTTCAAATGGCATAAACATTATGCGATCACACGATTTATGTTGATATTGATAAACTAATCGTTTCCGTAAGCTAATAATTGTATCGTGCAATAAATAATCTATATAACTACCAGTAAAAAAATTGGTAAGTTGCCCAATTCTGCTGAAAGAGACTTTGATCCTTGTGAATGCGAAAATATAAATGCTATCAATACCGACTTTAACCATTCATTAGGGCTAATGAAGCATACCCAGCAAAACCTGACATAGGTTTCTATCGTAAAATTACTCGAAAATACATTCCATTTGATGCCTTGTAGTCTCTTTTATACCAACTGACTAACTGACTGACCAAATCAACGTACAACCCCACACAAAGGTACGCAGATTGAAGCTGCCACACTTCACAGTAGTACACAAAGAACAGGTGGATAGAAAAGGAGTGATATCAAAGTAGATAAAGTAGTATGAGAAAGCAAACAGTTTGAAGATAAAAGTAAGTGTGAGTATTCAAGCTTTAGATGTCAAGGAGTGAACAAACCTGTGCCTTGTGAGATCAATTTTCTGTCACATCACCAAGATTCAGTCCTCGACCACTGATTCTTTTCATCTTTGAGAGCCCAACCAGGCAGTCTTCATCTCTCTTGGTTGTATTATATTCTCTGAGCTGCTATTTAGTCGTAGAGCTTTCATCATCTTTCTAGACGATATCATAAGAATTAACTTCACACTGAAGTTAGTTTCGCGTCAATAACTCGGAAACCGATGGTTTAAATCCTGGCATGATGAATGTTTCTATTTCACATTCAAACATATGCCTATTTAACTAGTATGTATGGAATCTTTCCTCCCTTAGAATTCCAACGAAGGAAAAAAAGGATTTCTCCTTTGCAATGTGATTCTTGTTTCATTTCATAGAGTTTGCTTCATAAGTACTATTCATGAATATCATGTTACCAACCAGAACAAAAAAGTGGTTCACAATCATTTCGGATGTTTTATTTCAATACATTTCGGTATAATGACTAATTATGTATATTTGGGAAAAAGATGGACTAAGCGAAGAAATTTATTTCTTCGCAATTAGGTCTTCGTCTTCAGGTCTACACTAATATGCAGTTTTAAAAGCTTACAAGGTTAGATGAAACTCTGGATCGAAGTGTATGAAGAAAACGAGCATCGACTCACTTCTTTAGTGCTGTACCCCTTCAATACAAAATGAACCTAGTGAAATCCCTAACATACCACTCCACAGCTACTTGCTCAGATGATGCTATCGAGAAAGAGTTCGCCACCGCCTATGACCTGCTTAGTAAGAATGGCTATCCTGCCAACCTTGTGACTAATCATATGAATGTTACGAGGGTTAAGACAAGAACGCCAACTGTTTCTAAGAAGCAAATCTTTTTGAAGCTGGAATCTGTAAGTGACGTTACCAGTGAGATCATCATACAACGCGTAAAAAAAACCTTGTAAAAAACATTCCCAACCGCTAAATTTTATTCCATGTAAGAAATAAAGGCAAACTGCGTGATTCTGCAACTTTCACGTGTATTTATCAATTTAACTGCTCCTGAAGAGCTATTTTTGTTAGGCATATAATCAGACAGATCCATGATCAAATTTCTGGGCACCATAGATCAAGGTTTAGCAAGTAACAAAATAGAACAATAAAGAGCTCCAAACATGCCCACCTAGTTAACACGGGACAGCAAGCGGATACTAGAATGGCTTTCAAAATGATTCATCATATTCCAGATAATTTACCATATGGATTACGCATTCACTTACTTCACATAGCAAAGGCGATTGCAATCCACTTTTACAAACCTAACCTTTGTATTCAAAGAAAGTTTTATTGTATAAGGTGTATTTTTATTTGTGTAATCCCTGCGTTGTATATTAGAACAAATAAAAAAATAAACAAGTACTTTGTATTGCTCTTATTGTTCACCGAGCCCCACCACTTGATTGGTATATTGATTGAATTGTAAAACTATAGTGTAAAGTCCAAAATGAAGGCCCAGTTGAAAAGAAATATCTCTTCAACCAGTCAGTCATTTTTTTCAAATAGCTAAATGAGAATATTCAATTATGTGTAAGCCTCAAAAAGTTTGTTGAGTAAAACTAACTAATCTCACAAATGAAAACAATGAATCCATAGAATATAACATTAAACTTCTGGAAGTTTGCATTCTAGCTGTTGAAATAAAAATGAGATAAAGTTCTCCATCTTCCTCATTTGCATGATCAGTTGTAATCTTCATCACCGACAATTCAGAAACTCCGTCTCATATTCAAAATAGTAGGTAATACCTTTAACAATTTATATTGGTATAATCAAATGCAATTGTTTGATGCGAGTAAAATATACCAACTTACCAATGATTTCTATGTAAATCTTGTCGTATACATAATCAACATTTGATGGTTTATATGTTACAGACGAATTAAGGTAAGAAAATGTATAAGCACTTGATGGTTGATTTTTAGATTTTTCATAATAAGTTGATAATTGTGTTGAATTAATATTTATGATTGGATTCGATCTTTCTAAACATATCCATTGGCCAGCTTCAGCTTCACTTGCCCATGCTACAAATAATCTACTTTCCAATAAATGTGAATCTAACCATCTCATTGTAATATATACACCACCTGATTTGTATGGATTCGATAATCGGCGAATACCACGATGATACCATTCAAGTGATATTGCTGGATCAAGTTTAGCTTCAGAAGAAGGGAAACTAACACGACATATCAACTCAAGAGGAGTACCATAGAAGACAAGATTTGGACCAGTTACTGTTATAGCTGAGAAGAAGAAGAAAACACGAACCTTCATTAATATCATTCTAAGTAAAATTTGATACTTAGTGTTTTCTGTTTATTTCTGACAAAGTTGTTGTAAAGAAACTCCGTCCGCTAACCATCACTCAATGCGCTGATTTCTTTGTAAACAGATAGTAAATGAGTCGTAAATTACCTATACAGTGTCACTTAATTTAATCTGAATATTATCACGCCTTAACTTGAATCAGAATAAATGCCAACTGTTATATATCAAGAGATATGCAGTTTTCAGAAAAATCATGCCTATGTTACCTGTTCGTAACACAGATCATGCTTGCTGAAGCCTACAATGAAACAAAAATTCATCCCCTAACCCCATTCCTTGTTAGAATGGTGTATTTCATGTAATGTATGCTTATGGAGGTACCGACTGGTGTTACTTCCACGATTACTAGTTCACCTCGAGTAAAACTTATTCCTTCATTGCGTCCATTTATTAGCAGGATAATACTTTATTTTCTGAAAACAACCTTCCTTCCCTTAAGATACTCATACATACTAGTCATTAAATTTTGTTTATAAAAGCTTTTAATTTTAGTGTGTACTCGTTCCACATGGATTTGACTCACTACAAACACAAGACACTTTTATCCCCAATTTAAAATGCACCTTCCTTCACTACAACCTAATCATGATGGTGACTGTGCTTGCCGTCTGTCTTCTATAAAGATTACCATTTTTCATCTTGGTTAATGGGTGATTTCTAACAAAAAGTCTGTTTACACCACAGTTGGGCAGCTGAGAAACTACTCAACTGTGAGAAAGACCAATGCAGATTGCGCAATTTGCCAGTTGATCATCTTACTTAAGGTGTACTGGTCCATACAACTCCGCTAGTCATATTTAGTTGATCTGAAAAATAAGGCTCAATGAACTGAATTTGTTAGTGTACACTGCTCATGAGCTTAGCCCCAAACATGTGAAATGCCTATTCATCGTTTACATCATCCTTATCTGGATATCAAAATCTGAGAATCAGCATATGTGCTGTTCAGTAGTATGTTTCAAAGATTAGCCTAAACGATAATTGTTCGGTGTTCATCGAATTGTGATGAAATGTTCAGGAACCAATCTAAAATCTCAGGGAAGGCCAAACAATTATCATCCTCATCTTTAGCTCTAAATCATCTCTACTACCTAGCATAACTGCTACAGGTAAACATCCATGGATTCCTAAGTGTAGAGTAGGAATTTTAACACAGTTGTTCGCCTAAACATTTACTGTCCTGAAATTTATTCATTCCAAAAAAGATAACTTCAGAATAAACAAGTCCTCATGAAGTATCTCAAGGATGATACGCGGTGTCAACTGGATGTTTGTAACATGATCTCAATACGAATCTATAGAATAAATATTTCTACAAGTTAAAACTGGCTGCTAATAGCCAGTTATACAAGTGAGTACCAATTCTGCAATGTCGTGAACTAATTAACGTCGAGGATTGTAGCCAATAACCTCAACCGATACAGACTTTCTGCACCATTTAGAGTTCACTGAATCATTACTGTATACAATCTAAGGTTTGAAATGACAATCTTTCATTAAATGTACAACATTCCTTGGTTCTCAGCATGTCCGGTAGGGAAAACCAAGTTGGACGTAAAGACAGGTACTCAGTGATGACACTGGATAAATTTCTCGCTATTTTGTAAGTTGACAAAAATAGGAAAATGTGGACTATTGTATTCCCACTCTTTGGCTCGGTGGCAGCGTGCTTGATAGGGAACCCGAAGGTATTGGGTTGGATCCTTGGTGTTGTCATGTGTGCACAGTGCTGAGTAGTTCCGCACTAGAAGGAAACCGCTGTCCAGAGCTCTGTGGTTTTCAGTCACCCTCCAACTGATGTCAGTTCCCCATCAAAACAAATTCAGCATCCATGAACCCCCACAAATCCTAAAAGTCAACCTTATAAAATATTTTTCACTTCATTTCTTTTATTGATGCACAATTAGATAAACCAATGGATATAGATTGCGTTTATTTTGTTTACACTCTTGAAATGGTAATCAGGTTGACAAAATCAACGTCCAGACCCTCACACAAGTGCATCGGTTCATGCTAACACTTTTTATAGTAGTTTACAAAGAAATAATGGATAGAGAAGAAAATTTTCAGAGTAGATAAGAGCGAATGGGGGAGGAGGGAATTTAGAAATTATGATTTGTCGAAACCTCCAGACTGTAGAAGATATCAACAAGTGAATACATCTGGCCCACTGTCACCGATGTCTAGCTGTTTACCCAAGAGTCTTCAGCCACCGATTCCTATGGGATCACAGATACCAACCAGGTAGTCTACGTCTCTCCTGAGGGTTCAAAACAACAATCAGACACTTTATGTCTTGCTCTAGCCACTTTAAACCCTCTTCCAAACTAACCTAACTTCGCCTAGCATGGTGCGTTGACGTAGGCTGTGGGACCAAATGCTCAGAGAACTTTCGATAGGATGGATGGAGTATTACTAGGTGCTTACTCATATAATGGTGATATGTGACGTGTCGAGATACTTGCTTCCTATACTATTATGGTTAGCTAAAAATTAACCATGTAGATGAACCTTAAATTCCATCTCTGAAGACCTTTTGAACCATTATCATATTGTTTTTCTGGAATTTTACACCAGAATCATCTTTGTAGTTGATCTGAATGACTTTAAATAAGTATGGACCCAATACTTTTATAGTTGAAGGGTGTTTACTGTTATTATTTTTATTATTATTGTCTTTTCTTCGTTTGTATAAAACATAAACTCCCATTTGCAAATTCTAAAAATTATTTTATCGTTTATAAGCATTATGAATAATAAGGGTGTTTACATGTGTTATCCTTTTTGATATTATATAATCTTTTTATTGTACAAGCAAACTACTTTCTCCGCCATTAACGACATCTATCGATGAACTGGTGCCTACCTTTCAGTCAATAACAAACATAATCTTTTATGGAACTGTGAATACTATTATGGAACTCTAGGAAATGTTTTCTTGTTTAAAAGATTCCCTGTACCTAACTGACAACTTACATCATGAAGAAGATTTCAAAATGACTAAGTTTATTGAAATAATTGGTTGTATAGCCCTAGTTATCCTCTTAAATGACTTGGAAGCATACTTTATAGCCTCATTAACCACAATTTAGTCCACTGACTTTAACTAGTAAGTGCTTTCATTAGATAAATCATTTCTCTTTATATAAAATTAACCAGAGCGCAATGAAATACAGACGAATTGATTATTTAATGTATTATGCCTCAGTGAACGTTCTGAATATGATGCCGAAACAGTTTGGTCAATTGAGAACACTTGTCAAAACCAACTATTTTTACTTCATTTTTATCTGGTTACTTAATACAGACTAAGTAGTTCCGTTAAAAACTAAAGACTCTACGGTTAAAAAATTTTCACATCAATTCTGATTATGCCAGTAATGAATACACACTGATGCGCATACACCTGCTTCGCAGCTATATTGTAACGAATTAGTGATATTTCTATTCACGAGGAATACGTTCTGTGTCGTATATACTGTCAGTTTGATACTTACCATGTAAGGATATAAAGAGTATTGAAGAGAGCATCCTTCCCTAAATGTTAAATGAAATCTTAAGGTTCCACGAAAATGCCTGACAGAAAGGTTTTTTCTTGGAAAACGGTCCTAATTCCGATAAACAGTGTGTGTGCAAAACCTTATCACAATATTCGAATCGCGTTCAAAATTATGCTTTCAAAGTAAGGTGAACAATATTGTTTGGTTTGTTTTCAATCAGCATTCCCCTATGTTTGATCTTGTACTCATCAATTATAGAGTAACACTTTAAATTATTACAGTCGAATGATGGATGGTCTCATACATTGAAGCACGAATCCAGCACCTACCACCTGAAAACGTCATAATGTCATCCCCCAAGCTGTTCAGTTGTAATAAATAAGCCTTTTTCAACAAGTGAAGAATCTTACCAGGGCTTAACACATTTCGTTACTGATTTTTTGGTAAAAACTGACCAGCTGATTTACTGAAAATTTTGGCGCCTAGAATATTCAACTTGGAGGTTTGTGGGGTATGTGTTTGTTGATTTCAGGTTGGTATTCTTCATGGAATGAAATCATTTGGAGAAGCGTTAGAAACCTAGGAACATAGGACAGCTGTTTCGCCCTAGTATAAGACTCCTCAGAAGTGCGCATACAACTTTGCTTTGAACGCTACTTCAAGATAAACGGTCAGGAAAACAAGGGATTTATCGGACACAGTAGACCAATATTCGAGAAGAAATTTAATCAGTATCTCTCCATATTTTTTCTATCCCTAGTACTCTTTCAATAACAATTACTAAAAGCTGGCAAATCACATGCTTTTGAAAGACATTATGGAAGAGAAAAAGGGGGTCTGGTAAGGACGAATTCATGCAGCGTCTGAAGGTGACACAGACCTTTTGTTGAACTAACTCCTAAAGCATAAAGGAGTAGAATTCATATGCTTTGAAACCAGGTTCACAAACACTTCAACCACAATTCATTTGTACTGTATGCAATATATTATAGGATTTCCATAACATGTTTTATAAAGAAAGGTCGTGACCAATGGGACATACCAATTCAGATGTTAGGACAGACTTAACGACAGCTTTGGATATTGATCGTTCTATATTGTTAATTAAAAGAAATAGGAAACAGTAGACTACTAAACTTTGACTCAACAACGCAATCGTAATGTGCTGGCTACAAAATCTAAATTCTCCGGGTCCGATCCCTTGTGGTATCATGGCTGCACGTTGCTCTGGAGTCCCATACGAAAATGAAGCAACTGTCTAGTGCCTTGGCAATTCCAATGGTTCTCCAAATGCTGTCAGTTAGCGATAAATACCCACTAGAAATCAATCTGGCGCCACAAGTCTCCAAACTGAGAAGTTTAAGTTCTCTTTTCATTTACGGATGGATTCTGTAATTAACGTTTATAGCATAATG